ATAGCATCGGTATCATTAGGATATGAACTGCTATTTAAAGGCATATCTAGCAAATGTCCATTTAATTACATTAATGGAAATCGAGGTAGATTTCATTAAGCCAAGGAAACAATGTATAAGTGGTTGTAATATTTTTCCATTGGCTGGAAGAATGGGCGTTNTACCTATACTACTTTGATACTTTATTGTTAGTTTATTTATTTTACTACGGCTTTGTCTTTTCTCGCAATTAAGGAATATAAATATATTAGTTAAATAATTACAAAAGGGGAACCTTGGCGAGAACAATTTACATTGTATATCCGAGTGTTAAATATACAAAAAGGCGTACGATATTGTGAATAGCTAAAATTTCTGAATAAATTTGAATTTGTTAAAGTACGAAATACGGCGATGAGAAGTATTCATTGCCGCTTTAAAATTGCATAAGATATGATGTAATCTCTCAGGCAAAATTAGAAATGAAAAGGGAAATTAAAAATAAAAATGGAAATGGAAAAACGGCAAATGAGATTTGGAACGTAGAAGAAATGCACGTTCTTTAATATTAATGTATAAGATTAACGCGGGACGCTTGAAGTCTTAGGATTCTCATTTCCTTCATGATCAATTTGTTTGCAGGATCAGAATTAAAAATCGCAGGATAACTCTTTGTAATCTAGAATTTTTTTCAACTATTCAATTTATATGATGTTTCTTCAATTATTCTCTATTTTGAAACAGTTCTATTTGTGAGTTGAATAAACTAAGATTGTCTTGTACTGAAACATACAGCAACACTGAACAAAATTTAATTTACTTTATCAAAATCGTTTGTTAATCAACAAACTATTTTCAGGTTTACATATTTTAAAGAACATGCACGACATAAGGACTTTCTCTCCATCTTTAAATAGTTGGCGTTATATTTTTTCCATTTCGCCCTGATGCATTTCATAAGTAATCACTAATCAATACAACAGTGGGAACTAATAGCATCGGTATCATTAGGATATGAACTGCTATTTAAAGGCATATCTAGCAAATGTCCATTTAATTACATTAATGGAAATCGAGGTAGATTTCATTAAGCCAAGGAAACAATGTATAAGTGGTTGTAATATTTTTCCATTGGCTGGAAGAATGGGCGTTTTTCTAATGAACAAGCAAGGAAATATTTTCCTCCTAATACTATTCTTCAAATGTGGGAGGAATTACATTTTTTGGAAGGTTTTACAAAAGGCAACAATATCAATGCATTTTTTAAACAAAATGCCTTGCTGTTAATGATAAAGAGACTTGTGCAGAGTTTCGTTTTAATCTGGTAGCCGTGTTGGAGTCATCCGGTTATACCGGAAGTTGACGTCATCTTCGTTATTTTAAATGGAACACCCTACGTCAACTTTTATGTGAATTTTCATAAAGGTTTCCTATTCTTAAAGTTAACTGTTTTTGATATATTTAATTTTAAAAAATTTATAGGGGACATAACTAAAACTCTAAGCTTCCCTGTCATAATTTCAAAATGACTTAATTTCATACAGGGTGGTAAAAATTTAATGCCGAATTTAGTCAACTTTAAACCATCTTAACTAATTTTTTAAATGTAACAGCCTGCATATTTTTGCGCAACCTCATGAACAATTTTGTTCTCTTTCGAATGATATAATGGTTCCATATCGCTATCCTATCTCTTCTGGTTTTTAAGGTATTTGCTCTTTTTCGTACAGTCAACGGATATCGCATAATTTCTTGCGAGGAAGGCTGTGAAATTTTTAGTGGAACTTCAAAACAAACACCTAATCTGTCACCAGTTTATTGTTGTGAATGTTTTTTGAGTATTATTTATTGTTAAAGAATGGAAAACGTTAGCATATATTCAAATGCTGCTTGGAAAGGATATAACTAATACAATGCGAAACATCGCCTTAATGTTAAAAAAGTTGTCACCGCCGTTCTTGGTGGTGAAAATTCGAAATATTTGGAATTATTCAATTTTCGCGACTGAAAACATACAAAGCTATTGCATTTTCGAAACCGGGAGAGTTGCACTAACCAAATTTGAACAGGATGTAGCTAATACAATGCGAAACATCGCCTTAATGTTAAAAATGTTGTCATCGTCGGTCTTGGTGGTGAAAATTCGAAATATTATATTATTATATTATAACGAGCGTTCAAATAAAAACGTGGTCGAAGTTGGCTCTGACACATTGGACGTAGGGAGTAGCTTATAGCGACCAACTTAACCTCATTTCTCAACGAGCTGTATAGCAGCTGTCAGTTTCAATAACGTTAATGACTATATAACTTTATTTTAAAGAATAATCGTGATAACAATAACAAACAATTAAAGGAGCTGCGGAAAGTGTCCCCCTCCTTGTTATAACAATAAATTAAAGCAGCTGCTGAAAGTGTCCCCCTCCTTGTTCCAAGCACTTTTCACACCTGTTCCTCAAAGAATTAAAGACATTTTCTAAGATGCTCGGGGTATTGTTAATTTCACGAATCTTGTCTATAAGTCGAGCCTGCAGATGGTTTAAATCAGGAATAGGCAGTTCAAAAATAGTGATGACCTCGGTGGAAATTCATGTTCACCATTGAGACTTATTAGACGATTTTGGAAAACTTCCCTCAACATATTCATCGTCTCGCCTGCCGTATGTGCCCATGCGCCATCTTGTTGAAAGTAAAAGTTTGTAATTTCGTTTTCTTTCAGCTGGTTAACAAAAGGAGCGATAATTTCTTCTCTATACCTTTGCGCAGTAAGAGTACCATTAAAAAAATAGGTCCATAAATCCTTCTTCGATTGAGAGCACACCAAACTCCAATTTTTTGAGCGTGTAGAGGACCCTCGACAAAAAAGTTATCTGGTTTTTTAGAAGACCACATTCTCATATTCTGTGAGTTTACGTAACCACTTAAATGAAACCAGGCTTCATCAGAAAAAAAGGTGATATTATGAAATTCACCGTAGTTGTTTAAAAACCATTCACAAAATACAGCCCGTCGCGGAAAATCAACTTCATGAAGTTCTTGCTGACAAGTTAAACGATAGGAGAACAAACGCAAATCATTTTTTAACACTGTGTGGCAGGTACCGACTGATACTCCCACCATTTGTGATAAAACACGTACAGAAGTTCTTGGCGCATTTTCCATTATTTGTTGGACATTTTCCTTTAATTCTTCAGTCCGCTTTTTAGGTCGGCCGCTTCCTTCTTTTCTTGTTACACTGCCCGTTTCACGAAAAACATTAACACAACGCTGAACTGCTCTTTGAAAAATTTTGTACTCAACAACGCCGGGAAATTGATTTTGAAATTCTATGAAACATTCCTCAATAGAATACTTCCATATTCCATCAATCTTGCGTCCATTTCTAAAGTAGGACTCTATGATAAACACTTTTTGTTCTTGAGAAAACACCATTTTAAACGCTTTTTAAAACGAAAATATTCAAATTGTGACGTTTAAGTTCATTTGCTATACGCTACGCCCTACGTCCAAATTTTCAGAACCAACTTGACCACGTTTTTATTTGAACGCTCGTTATATCTCTAATAATGCTTTTATTTTGGCAAGCGAAATTTTCCAAGAAGAAAGACTTCTCAAAACAGTAAAAGAATATAAATTATATATATGAATGATCACTGCGTCCAAACTAACAGAGAGCGACCTGTTAATTTTTAATAAGTGAAACAATTTTTGACTGACAATAGAAACGTTCAACTACTCTGAGGCTTAATGTCCCCACATTGATAGGCTATTGACTATGTCAAAAAAAGAGGGTACAAAGGAACTATAACGTAACAGAAATTTTATTGTTTGATATGTTGACCCTAAAAAATGATAAAACCGCGGAGTGCTACCTTTTAAAGTGGAGCGTTTTTGAGAACCAAGTAAAAAGGTGGTATTTTCAGTTCTTTGCGTTTTACTAACTGTTGTTTAAATAAATAAATAATAATATCCAATCACCTAGAAACTTATTTTAACTTTCACATTCACAAAAATAAATTTATTACACAAAATAATACCGAATGTAATAAAAATTTTATAAAAATAAGAAAAAGTATCGTTGGTTAAATTGACATCTCTCGGTTGATTTTAATTGTATAAACTTCAATCAGGCACCATTTTAAAGGCCTTGAAACCAGCTTTCATTTGAATAAGGCATTACATATACCTAAATTAACTCAGAAAAAAGTTATAAGACGAAAATCGTCAAAAAAGGGCCAAAAATTGGCCAAAAATCCAAAAAGTAACCAACTTTGATCCAATGTATCTCGGTTTCTATTAGTCGTAGGTACTTTTATAAACGCTTATTTTAAAGGAAAAAACATTAACTTTTTTTCTGTGAAGCAATGCCTATACCTAATTCCTCTCAGAAAAAAGTTGTGGGCCAAAAACCAAAAAAAACGCATTTTTTCGGTTTTTTTTACTCGTTTTTTTGGGCATATTTTTGTAAGAAATAAATAAAATTTTTTGACTTCAGAAGGTCTCAATTCGATTGGAAATTCAATTTGCTACAACTCTTCTGTTGACAACTTTATTGAAAAAATGCATAATTTTCGAGTAAATCTCAAAAAACTGAAAATACCACCTTTTTACTTCGTTCTCAAAAACGCATCCCTTTAAAAGGTAGCACTCCGCGGTTTTATCATTTTTTAGGGTCAATTGAACATATCAAACAATAAAATTTCTGTTACGTTGTAGTTCTTATCTAAAGTACATAGTCTATGAAATGAACAATATTTATTATAATAGTTCTTCATTTTAAAATTACTAGTCGAGGCGTTAGTTCGCAGAGTAGTTGTTTCCTGCATCATCAACTAAAATGTAACTCTTGTATACCTATTTAATATTTTAGTAAATATTTTTCACATCGTATTTCGTGTCGTTAACGTTATAAATCACTGTTTTCTCCAGAAAGTTACCTTTCATCGGTCGCTGCGAATTATCCCACCATTATTGTTGTTTAACTAAGAAATTCCCCCAATAAACTCTAAATTAGCACTTACACTTTCCTGAATGATTGCCAGAGTTTGCTGGGATTCCACGTGATGGGAATTCATGATAAGGCGGCGCATACTTTCCTTGATTCTTGGCTGAAATCTGGAATCTCTGGCGCTGTTATCCAAAAGCACAGTCGTACCGGCCAGGGCAAGTATAAAGCACAATATTTGGGTCCCGATATACTGAAAAGAAGAAAGATTATTAGTTAAAATTCTTTTACATTTTTTTAGTAAATTGCGACACTATGATTAACAATTTTCAACTCATATTTTCAACAATACAACAAGACTGACTATATATTGCAATAGTATCAAATTTTGGGTCAAATAAAGCGTTGTTTATGAGGTAATGAACTGCGTTTATCACAAATCAAGATATAATATACAGAGTGTGGCGTGTATAATCTACAAAAATTAAACTACAGCTTCCTAACGATATTTGTAATAGAAAAGTCATATACGAATAAGTTCTATTTCTGCGTGCGTTTATTTTTTTTTTCGTAAATTAGACTTTAATCATGGATTAAATGGGATATTTTCTCTGGAACGGTACTGTCCGTGTGCTGTACGATAAGTTATGTGCTGTAGACTAGTCGCCCAAACAAATCGTCTTTGAAAGATATAAAGATACTTCTCAATTTTTGGGAAATTTTTCAATGTAAAAGTACAAACTTTGAAAAATAAATACTTAAAAAAATTGTATTTTCTTATTATAATAATAATTACTAATAGTAATGTTTGGTTTTGTGGTAAATAAATTGACCTTAAAGTGGACTGTATATTTGTTGACAAATGTTAAAATATGACATGTATCAGAAGCCTTCCTCCGAGTCTTTTCTCTGTATAGGTGATAATATCTGCAACTTTTTGGTCGGATACTTTCAGATTCCATGTCAGCATTTCCCTGTAGCTCGCGTCTTGTTCTTCTTCTTTCTTCACTTGGCACTCTCCTGTCAGTTCTTCTTGTATTTCTTCTTTGCTTTTAACGGTCACAGCCTCAGCAGCGTCTTCTCCTTTTTTCAATTTTGTCGAATCTGACATGTCGAGTTTTATGTAGAAGGGTTTTTCTCCATCTTCAGAAGAATTCTCGCTCTCTTCACTGTCACTGCTGCCTGCACATTGATTATGTCAGTACCAATATAGTTTTATTCCTTAGTTTCAACATCATTTAGGTCCTTTGATTCTGGTTCGGTTGATATGTTGCTAGATAATTCTTTGATTTCAGCATTTGGTTCCATGTAGGTCATATTTTCTTCATGACAACTGCAAACTGTTGACACCACCTTTTCAGTTTGTTTAGACTTCGGTGTGGTCAGAATTCCTTTTATAATTTCCTCGATTTCTTCGGGTTTTTGCAAACGGCATCTTGGATGTCCATCACCTTTCTCTGAAACTTGTTGTGGTTCTTCGTCTTCTGACGAATCGCTGTCATCGCTGTCGCTTTCAACGTTTATTACGTTATTTTCTTTCATTATGTCCTTCAGCGTTAAATTTTTCATTAACTTATTGGCGTTGCTGGTCCCAGAATTGTTTGCATTTTCTTCGTCGATGTTTTTCGTCATATTTGCTTCTCCTTTGCTTTCTTCGGTATCTTCAGGAATTTTGACTGCAGGCGGTTTGTCAAATGATGTCATGTACTCCTCAAAAGTCAAACTTGTCGCTGACATGTCAGATTTTTTCACGCGTTCCACAGCCTGACTCACTAGAATTTCTCTTTGCTTTCCCATATAATTCTTTGCACTATTTTCATCTTTTACTTCTTCATCTGTGAAACGTTCTTCACGGTTTTGTTCAGCACTTGTACCTTGATTTTCTTCACAATTATCTTCGTTCTCTTTCTGAACTGCCTCAGTAATTTTTTCTTCCTTATTGGTAATTTTGATGCCTTCTGCTTTGCGCATGTGTTCTACCATCATTTGAAAATTAAAAGCGTCTTCCTGTCGAGTGTTTAGTTGCTCGATTTTAATGTTTGAAGTTGTTGCTACTTCTTCACGACTATTACATGCCTCAATTTCGTTGTTGTTCGAAAAGTTGTACACGGTAGTGTCTCAGGTTGAAGCTTGCCTGAACTCCCGCCCTATTACTCCATTATCAGAAAATACCTGCGACCTTGACGCTCTTACTCCAGGCCACTTCTTCATAGGTACATCGCTCTTAGCTTTACCTCAGGAAGATGTTAGCAACCTTCACCCGAATAGACTCTCACGATAACAGCATTTAACCCAAATGATTCAACATTTTTGGACACGGTGGTCTAAGGATTATTTGTCTTCGTTGCAATCACGTGGAAAATGGAGATCAGGTAGTGACACCATTCAGCCAGGAATGCTAGTTCTTCTAAAGGACAACAACCTACCTCCTTTGAAATGGCATTTAGGAAGAGTGACGGAGCTCCATCCAGGCGCCGACAGTGTGTGTCGTGTGGTTAGTGTCAAAACTCGCGAAGGTGTTTTTAAGCGAGCTATAAAACGCTTGTGTGTGTTGCCAATAGAAACTGATTTTCAATAATAAATATGAGGTTTCTTTTTATTTTGCCAATGAAATGTTAATACAAGCAAATCTTTATGTATTATTTTATTTGGTTAAATATTTTATATTTTTTTGAAAGACTAGGCTTTCAAGGCGCGCGGCATGGACGGAGCACGCTCCTTAGTTTCTTTAGCTTAAGTCTAGTTCTTGTGCAATAACGTAGAAAAATTAGGCTTCTGATACATGTCACATTGTAACATTTATCAACAAATATACAGTCCACTTTAAGGTCAATTTATTTACCACAAAACCAAACAAGTAATTACTATCTTAAATGTATTGTCGTTACTGCAAGAGTTCGCAAACAAAACCACAGCCGTAAGCATCTGTAGTTGCCAACTGCGTGCACAAAACAAACTGCATTGAAATATGCAACAAAATAAAATAAAACTTACCATTTCTAGAGATAATGTTGAAATTGACTCCCATTAGTCCGGATACAGTAACCTAACCTTCTTTTGGTATTACTAGTATTAGATTATACCGACTTAAATTATAAGGTTGCATCTCAGGTCCCATAAAACATTTCCAAAGTTTTTAATAAATAACACAGGGTCGGTCTTCGTTTTCGTTGAATAAATGAAGTCTAATTTACAAAAAAACGCGAAGATATAACTTTTTCGTATAAGAGTTTTCTATTACAAATATCATCAGGAAGCTGTAGTTTAATTTTTATGGATTGTACAAGCCACACCCTGTATACAAATGTACAGATTTAAGTGAAAGGTCTCACTGGAGCGAATAGAAGCTCTAGGCACATTAAAACCCACACTACGTAATAATACTGGAGAGTTGAAATTTACATGGATCATATTAAAAAGAGAAACAACATTCTGCATGTTACGCTGAACCATCAAGGATTTGTATACTATTCAAGCAGTAAGTGCTTTGAATAATCCATAGGAGGATATGTGTCGATATTTGCATAATATAAACATTTTAGGGATCTCTATTGCATTTTCGCCAATAGATTGATGTAGTTTGTGAAATTTGGTGCACAAATTAGAGAATTATACAGGGTGTTAATTAAGTACGTACAATAAATTCAACAGACGATTATTCGAATGACTTTAGGGCGAAAAGTTCACGTAAACATTGGTCCGCGGATGCTCCGTTTTCAAGATTTCAGGGTGTTAAACTTTTGTAAAAAATTGTTATTTCGTAAATATCTTAAATACCCTTTACCCAATTTTGTTGTAATTTGGCAGTGTTATTTGTAGTGTTAAGGGGCCAATTTAACCCTAACTTGATTAGATTTATTAAGTCCAGTGGCGTCCGAGCGGTACCTTAACGAATATTTTTGACAAAAAAAAATGTACCCCACTGACTTTTTTGTAATTTTTATATATTTGTTGAATTAAGAAACTAAAAATACAACTTTTTTGTCTCTTGAACGTTTTTCGTATCTTGATTAATTTTTGTAGAAAAAAAATAGAATCCACTTAATTGTATATCTCTGGCCCGCACAAGAAACATGGGGAAAAGTTTCTTTTGGAAATTATCATTTTTTATAATTCCTTATTAGTTTAGTCAGAAATCAGAAAAATTAGATAACTCTTTTATTTTACTGATAAAGTAATTATTAAGTGAACAAGTTGATTTAAAAATCTTTTTCAATTTAAATTGTCGCATAAATTTCATAAAAAAGAAAAGAAGGATTAGGAAATGGAATTCCCATTTAATTTAAAAGTTTCCTCCTTCAATTAGTTACGGAAATACCCGATGAAAACAATGGAACGGGATATCTCACACAAGCCAGCTAGTTAAATTTCCTCCAGCGTGGTATTCATTGTCTCCGCATTGTAACAAGAGCAATTTTAACAAGTTTGCTAAATGTTAGAAGTTAACATGACGTGGCGTCTCTAAATTCTGTTTTCAACAGTTTAACGCATACGAGTATGAGAGCAACAGGAGCTAAATATCCAAACTTGCATGAAAATTTCATTGCCGGAATTACTTATTCGAAATTGCGCCAGTATGTGTTATAGAAAATTGAAGCTCAGCTGTTATGTAATAAAATGTAAAGGGCGTTAAAACCAATATCTCATTTACGCGACAGAAGAAATATATATTTACAGAACAATATTATTATGAACAAAAAATTGTTATAAGAAATAAAATTAAAAAAAAAAATTACGCGCTGTACTTTGGAAAGGACATTTTTGAATCTATGTTACTATACGTATTTTTTCATAAAATAATGTGAATAATTACCTTTTGAAATAATTTAGACTACCTAGAAAACGCCCTCTATGCAGTACATTCGCGGGTTGAGTTTAAATGAGAACAAATGGACCAAAAAGTGAAAGATACGAAAAAAGGCATTCTTGATAAAAGTTTTTGCTTGAAAAATGAATGTCACATTATCAATAATTAATTTTTTTTATACAGGGAACAAAGTACACTACCAAAATATGTCTTATTCAAGTGTAATATTTAAATAATAGCAACATTACGGTGGCCCAAAAAAACGAATGTTTTTTTTTCGTGTCTCTTGTGAAAATATGTAAGTTTATCATGTTTTAATAGCCCGCTCAAAAAATCAGCTCAAAAAAAATTTTTTAGAGGTCGCTCAATATTTTAAAAAATTTCAAAAGTCGTCAATGATTGAATTTTTTTAAAAATTTTTCTCGTTATTTTATCTATTTTCTAAA